CTCTCTCTCTCTCTCTCTCTCTCTCTCTCTGTCTCTCTCTCTCTCTCTCTTCTCTCTGTCTCTTCTCTCTCGTCTCTCTCTCTCTCTCTCTCTCTCTTCTCTCTCTCTCTCTGCTCTCTCTGTCTCTCTCTCTCTCTCTCTCTCTTCTCTGCTCTGTCTCTGTCTCTGTCTCTCTCTCTCTCTCTCTCTCTCTCTCTCTCTCTCTCTCTCTCTCTCTCTCTCTCTCTCTCTCTCTCTCTCTCTCTCTCTCTCTCTCTCTCTCTCTCTCCTCTCTCTCTCTCTCTCCCTCTCTCTCTCCTCTCCCTCCTCTCCTCTCCTCCCTCCTCCCTCCCTCCCTCTGTCTTGAATTCTTAAATGGTTTTGTTCAGAGTATTAGAATGTAACTTTGCTTAGTTGAAAGTAGAATGTTTGGATGTGTTTCATAACCACAGGTTAAGTGAGCACTTCATATAAATCTTACAATTGTTATTTCAGGTGATGCTTATGGTTTTGGAATGGGCACAAACAATCAGCTGGCGCAAGGCAATGACGATGACCAACTAGTTCCTGTTAAATTAGCAGGCAAGCAGTTAGCGGAGCGTAGAGTGGTCTCGGCACATGCAGGGGGCCAACACACCATCATTCTAGCTGTTCCCAAGTGATAATAGATACCTTAGGATCAAATCTTTTCTAGGATTGTATTAATTTAAGATGTGTTTGCACATTTGTGTTATATTATTTCCTCTACTGACCTTATTTTTTTATGATTGTTGTTTTTGTGTGTATATGGGATATGCTCAGTGACATAGCAAGTGATAATTATTTGTACAAATTAAACCTCGGTATTAGAAGAGGACAACTCATATTGTGTGTGCGTGTGTTTTGTAGATGCTTGTCTCTGACTGAATGATAATATACTTATACCTACAAAAGGAGTTTGAAAAGAGGCAGAAAAATGTGTAAGTATTCTTTTATAAAATTGTAAATGTTGGTTATCTACTGTTAAAACATTTATTTATAATCTTTGAAATATTTTTCATCTTGTGAAAGTGCGTATTTTAGCCTTAACTTGGATTGATGACCAAGAAATTATGGCTTTCAGATAATTAAAGAAATGTATTTGTAATAATTTGCATATGTACTTCAAATAATGTCACATTCAGAATTTAAGTTTGATTAAAGTTATAGCTAAGAGCAGTTGTTTTTGACAAAATCCCAAAGAAATAGCTTTTTAATTTATTTTAAGGTAGGAGAAACTTCTAGTTTTATTTTAAGAGTATTGTATTATGCTATTTTACAATGGAAATAGGCCATTTTTTACAGCAAGTACTTTGATATGAATTTGAATTTAGGCCAAAAGCTGTGTCTAGGTTAAACCTTGTAATTATTGACTGTCCAATTTTTTGGCTCAAGTGGATGTATAATAAAGAGGACAACCCACGCCATACCTTCTTACCCTTAGTCTCTGCCCGTGTCAGGTTTTCTTCTTTCTTTGGCTTTGATGCAAGGTTCACTTCTTGATTATTTATTTTGTGGTTTGACAACAATGACACTTCCTTTATTTTTTTGAGGAATGCAGTTTCCTGGAATGTATTTATAGTGCTTCATTCATCCTTTCCTGATGTTACATCTAAAAGTACTTTTTATTGTTAATGTGTGTGATTGGTAAAAGCCTCCTTATTTTTATTATTCAGCCTTTATATCTTTTATAATGTCATTTAATACATAACAGTTTGATATTGCTTAACATTTGCTTCCTGTTATAGAATTGTTTTTCTATAATTTTATTTCATAGTAAACTAAAATTTATTTAAGCAAAGGTTGTTCAATACAGTTTTGCCCATAGATACCTTCTATATCTGTAGACATCTCACCAATTTTCTAATGACTTTTACCCCCTCCAACAATCCCATGCCTATTGTTAATGTCGGCAGGGCATATGAGAAGGGCTGATCCCAAACACCCCCTACCCTGGGCCTCAGTCCTCAGTTCAACCAATTTTGCACAGGCTTTTCTTTCCCTTTCCTTTTTCTTCTCTTCTCTATCCCCGTATGTCAACTCCCTAAGGTGTAAGAGCTGTGCATAAAGGATAAAAGGCTGTCTTTGGGTCAGTCCTGAACAGCCTCAGGAAGCCATGGACATGTGGTTGGTCGTCTAGCCTTTTACCTTTCATGAGAACCTTGAAGGTAGACCGTTTCTCTTATCCACATATCGACTCATCCCCCGTTAATTTCAGAAATGTAGGCGTTTTGTCCACCCCGCCAAGAACTGTCACTCCACAGCCCACAGTCCTCTTATGTGCCCAACCTGGTCATGGCTATTCAAACTGCTCTGGATAATCATGCATCTGCCAACTGTAGCGGTTTCCATAAAATATTTTAGGAGCTACACCGCCTGCAAGTTTTGAGTATGAAGTAGCAGGTCTCCAATGCTATCCTTCGCTTTGTTCGTCTCCCCAGTATCAGTATTCCTCATACCCTTTTATCATCCCCTGCTGCTCCTACTCCCTTTACAAGTTGCACCAGGCAGTCTAAACATTCCACCCCATCTCTCACCACATTTCAACACCTTCCTCTTCCTCTACTCTTTGAACGTTTGTCTCCTCTTCTCACAAGAAAACATTTATTTCTCAGGCCTCCCCCGCCAGAAACTTGAGGATATTCAGAACTTCCTAAACATGACCTAAGAGAACACTCCTCTCCCTCGTCCACCTTCCAACCTCTGTACTCCTATTCCCTCTTTAGTCAGACTGTCGACGCCTATCCTCATCAGCCTATGTTCCAGATACCCCTCTTCATTCTACTCCTGTACTCCATGTAAGAGGCTTTTTTGTGTTATAATGGGTCTCATGTACCGTAATAGATGGTACATACGGCTTGACGTTACTTATATAGTCCAGCACTGACAAACAAGATAATGTAGATTGGGACGGTGCTTGAACGGTAGTGAGGCAGGGCCCATGTCAGGGACCAAGGGCTGGCTAGTGGAGTCCTCGCTTAGCTTGGGGGTTTGGTTTTCCATTTAGTAATTAGTGGCTTCTACAGAATTGTGATTGTATATCCACAATACTCTCTCCCCCCACTATCCCTTCAACTCCCTCCTGGATACTCAAATGACTTTTTTACACAATGTCCTCCGAATCCTTCCCTTTCTGACGTCCTTCCTGATACTTCCCCTTCCCCAGGTCACTTATCTCATTCTCCAGGTTCTCCTACTTCTTTGACACCCATGTCTACCATTACCTGTAGACCCCCCCCCAAAAAAAAAAAAAAAAAAAAAACGTTGTCGTGGTGTTGGGGGCTTAGGAGACGGAGACCGACCCAATGCGGGAATCTCCCCTCGACTGAACTAATTTTACATGGTCTTTTTTCCCTCCAGCTCTTTCGTTTCCGTCCCTTCTCAAACACCTACTATCTACTTCCTATGGTGTAAGAGCCGTGTTGAAAGTGGAAGGATGAAAGGCTGACTTTGTGCTAGTCCTGAACGGCCTGAGGGAACCATGGGCACAGTATTCGCCTGTTTGGTTATTTAGCCCTTATCCCTCAAGGAGACTCTGAGGGGTAGACTGTTTATTTCCCCAACATAGCCAAGGCTTCCCATGGCCAGTAATGAAGATGTAATACCCATATTAGAGGCAATGAGGATTTCCCATTCATCCAATAGCCCCACCAATTCAAACTCTCCCGGCTCCCCGACCCCAGGCTCTCCTTTGACCACGACTCTGAACACAACTACTACCTACTCGTCAATGCCTACTAGTGCATTATCCACCCAAGTCGAGACTCCTACTTTCCCAACTTCCTCAACATCAACTCTACCCCCACAGCCTTCTTCACCAACCACCTCATCTTCCCTTATTACTACCTTAGCCTTATTCCTATCTCTCCGTAATACTACTACCCCTCACAACAATACTCCCTCTTCCACACGTCCCCGTCCTTCTACCACCCACAGCTCTACCAGTATATTAAATACTCCATTTAACTCCGTCAAATGGGACCGATTTTTTGTGATCCCCCCTACAATTTACTCAGGCAACACTCTCCTCTTTCAACAATGTCTCCAAAAGCAAGTGGGTAGAGTCCCCTTCCGTACCCGACCCGATCGTTCTTGTCTCGTTATAGTTACATCTGAAACAAGCTATAGCATTATCAAATCTAACTGATTTCTCTGGCAACCCCATTCCTGCAGAACCTCATCCAACTCTTAATACTTGTACCGGAACTGCATCTCCCCAGCAAGCTGCCCTATGGATATCGATTGGTCAGATTTGGTTTGTCAAAATTACTTTCCGTACACATGACCTTCCCTTTCGTATCTATATTGGTGGACAATCCCCTCCCTGTTCGACCATACCAACTTCCTCCCCGTCATGTCAAAACTGTTGGCGCTTTGAACATCCTGCCAAACACTGCTGTTCCACAGACTGATACCCCCTATGAGCCCAACCCAGTCATAATCGATCAAACTGCCCTGCACATACACGCAAATGTGCTTACTGCGGGGGCCACCATAATGTATTTTATAGAGGCTGTCCCACGTACAAGTCTGAGGTAGCAACTTGCAGATAAAAAAATGGTCTCACTCAGACAGGAAGCACGCCGACCAGGTTTCTCTTATACTCCCTACTCTAATAATGTCGCTCGCTCTGCCCCTCCCCCTCCAACCCAGGATGTTCCTACACCCTCCCCTATACCTACTTATTTCCCCATTCCCACTTCTACCTCCTACCTTCCCCAAATTCTTTTGCCACGCTAAATCCAGACACTCCAATCTCAACTACAGCCCCAAGACCCCTCCCCACAATATCCGCAGAAGACAGACTAAATGTTCCACCCCTTCTCCTACCACACACTCACTTCCACCTACCTTTACCAGTCTCCTCTTCCCCTCATCATAAGAAAACCTTTGTCTTACAAGACTCTCCAACCAACTCCACTGGATAGACCATGGAAGATATTCAAAGCTATATGCTTCAGACACAGATTTCCACAAATTATGTTCCCTCCACACTCGAAGTGACTGCAGATATCCATCCTCCTCCTACTCATATTCCCCTACACCCCTTCCTCCTACTCCCTCCCAGCACAACCTATCCCCCTCAACTCCATCTAATACCGATATCCATCTTCCTACTCATATTCCCCCTACTTGCCTTCCTCCTGCCCCCTCCCAACACAACCAATTCCCCTCAACTCCGTCTATTACCGATATCCATCGTCCTCCTACTCATATTCCCCCTACATCCTTTCCGCCTACTCCCTCCCAACACAACCCATTTCCCTCAACTCCAACTACTGCCGATATCCATCCTCCCGACACCCATCCTCCTCCTACTAATATTCCCCCTATAACACTTCCTCCTACTCCCTCCCAACACAACCCACCCCCCTCAACTCCAACTACATATACATTCTCTCTCCCTCCATCCCCTCAATCATTTCCACTCCCTCATGGATACACACGTGAAACCCTTATGTAACTCCCTTACCTAGACCCAAACATCACCTCCTTTACCCATCCCAATGCAGGGATTAAGTACCTTGAAAGTACCTTTCAAGATTACTCTAGATAGTTGACGCATAGCAACTATGACCTTAGATGTCTAGCACATTCATTTTGCTTTTTAACCATTAACCATTATCTGTTGATGATGGTTTCTCTTTCAGTCCCATACATTTTGTCCTATCCCCACTTCACTGTACCTCTGTTTTTCCTCACTTGTCTGCTTTTCCTCAACCCCTCAACCTGCTGGACATCCCTATGGAATCCCCCACTTTTTCCCTTGACTTCTCCTTGTTCAGATAATTTGATATAATCGCCCTTTCCCCTTTTTACTAATAGCCGCCTTACCCCATTTGCTCCTTATCATTACCCCTTTCACAACCCTACAATACTGAGACTTTTGACATCTAACCCATTTTTGTACCATTAACTCTAAAGGGTCCCTCTTCCAATGCAACTATATTTACAATCTCACGTTGATGGCCGGGATTTTTAAAATTAGATTAAACCCTTAAGAATGCTGCTCACAGAATAATAGTCATGTTTTTTTCTTCAATGTGGAGTTGTCTTAATTTTCCAAGATACATAACGGTACTACAAGAATCAAAATGAAATAAGGGTTTCCGTAATGTGCAAGAGAATCTTGGATATGATATTGATAGTGTTGAAGATTATGTTTTACAGTTTGAATTAGAAATGAGGCAGAAACTGTACGAAGCACGAAATTGCATAATTAAAATTCTCCTACAAAGCAGTTTAAAAGCAAAACTCCAGTAAGACTAGAAGATACCCTTAAGGCTCCGTCCACACTGGCGAACTTTGCAGGGTTAAGGCTGCCGTAGACATTTATCCTGGTGTCCAAACGACATTAGTTTGGCAGTGACTGAAACAGTATCGAGTGGTGTACAGCATGGATCGTAGGACACAAGAAGAAA